GTGGTCTCTTCAGTTTAGAGACCATTTCTTTTGTTGAGCAGCTTTTTAATTTCATGTAGTCCTATTTGTTCATCCTTTCTCTTAGTTGCTGAGCTGCTGGGGTTCTATTGAGGAAATTCTTGCCTATACCTGTTGCTTCCAGAGTATTCCCTGCTCTTTCCTATACTAACTTCAGAGTTTTGGATCTGATATTAAGGACCTTGATCCATTTTGAGTTGATACTAGTACAGGGTGATAAACATGGATCTAGTTTCAGTTTTTTTGCAGGTAGATAACCACTTTTCCCAGCAATATTTGTTGAAGAGGCTGTCTTTTCTCCATCGTATGTCTTTGGTGCCTTTGTCAAAGACAAGTTGGTTATAGTTATGTGGATTAATATCCGGGTCCTCTGTTCTGTTCCACTGGTCTTCATGTCTGTTTTTGTGCCAGTACCATGCTGTTTTTATTGCTGTTTGCTTTGTAATATAATTTGAAGGCAGGTACTGTGATACCTTCAGCATTGCTCTTTTTGCTAAGTATTGCCTTGGCTATTTGCAATCTCTTGTGTTTCCAAATGAACTTTAAGGTAGATTTTTCAATCTCTGTGATGAATGTCATTGGGATTTTGATGGGAATTGCATTAAACATGTAGATTGATGTTGGTAGTATAGCCATTTTTGCTATGTTGAGTCTACCAATCCATGAGGACAGGAGATCTTTCCACCTTCTGTAGTCTTCCTCGATCTCTTTCTTCAGGGGTTTGTAGTTCTCCTTGTAGAGATCATTCACATCCTTTGTTAAGTTTACTCCTAGGTATTTGATTTTTTTTGAGGCTATTATAAATGGAATTGTTTCCATATATTCTTTCTCAATTTGTTCATTGTTGGTGTATAGAAAAGCTAATGATTCTCATTTGTCTTGTTTTCATTGCCTGTGCAACTGAGGTCATATCCAAACAATTTTCTCCAAGACCAATGTCAAGCTTTTCACCCATGTTTTCTTCTAGTAGTTTTAAGTCTTTAATCCATTTTGAGTTGATTTTTGTAGATGGGCTGAGATACATGCCTAATTTTATTCTTTTGCATGTGGGTATCCAATTTTCCCAACAGTATTTTTTGAAGAGACCTTCCTTTCCTTATCGTGTGCTCTTGGTACTTTTGTTGCAGATGAGATAACAGTAAATGTGTGCATTTATTTCTGGCCTCTGTCTTGTTCTATTTGTCAGTATGTCCATCTTTATGTCAGTACCATACTATGGCTTTGTATAGTATATTTTGAAGTCAACTAATGATTCATCTGCCTTTTTGTGTGTGTGCATGTGTGAAGGGGAGGCTATTTGAGATCTTTTGTGCTTCCCTATGAATTTTAGGTTTGTTTTCCCCTACTTCCATCAGAAATGCCATTGGAATTTTGAAAAGAATTGCTTTGAATCTGTAAATTGCTTTGGGTAGTATAGACATTTAAACAGTATAATTTTCATAATCCATGAACATGGGATATCTTTTATTTATTTGTGTCTTCTTCAGATTCTTTCATTAATATTTTATCATTTTCAATGTATAGATCTTATACCTGCTTGGAATTTATTTCTAAGTGTTTGATTTAATTTTTGATTCTTTGAGATTGATTTCTAGATTCCTTTTTCTGATATCTTATTGTTAAGGTATAAAGACACTATTGATTTTATATTCTAAAGCCTTTCTAATCTTACTTATTCTAATGGCTTTTACAGTAGAATTTTAAAGGTTTTCCATAGAAGATCATTTCTTATACAAAGAAACAATTTAACTTTTCTCTTTCAGATTTGGAATTTTGATGCACAAGAAAATAGATCTTGCCTAGAATTTATGGTTCTGGCTTATGGAATGTTAAAAATCTCTACTTTTCTGAAAATGTAGGAAATTTTACATTTATGGTGTGGATACAATGTTAGCTATTACTTAAGTATTGACCACTTATGTACAATTATGGCACAAATAGGCATATTGCTGTAATTTAAATAAGTAAATGTGTTGTAACCATTTTTGAGCAAATTGTGTGAAAGCTGATGTAACAAAAAGTCTCCTAAGGTATTATGAAGGATTTTGTTAGATACCACGTGATCTATGTCATTATATTTTGACACTGTTTCATGGCAGAGTACTGAAATAAGGTATATGTGTATACATATTTAAATATATATGCATATGTGTACATATGTATACACACAGAATTATGGTGTATAACTTTTAACTCAGTATTATCTCAGCAAGCATGTAAAGTGTACATTACCATTTTGTATATTTGTGTATATTTAATCAGATACTTGAACATACTTTAAGGCCACTCATTGCGCCACACCCATTCTTCCCAGGTGATTTGCTTAATTTCTGTCGAGGTAGGCTGTTTTAACTAAAGAAGTATGGTTAACCAGATGCCGGTGACTTACACCTGTAATCCTAGCTACTTCGGAGGCTGAGATCAGGAGGATCTTGGTTTGAGACCAGCCTGGGCAAAAAGTTTGCAAGACCTCCATCTCCAAAATAACTAGAGCAAAATGGACTCGAGGTGTGGCTCAAGTGGTAGAGCACCTGCTTTGCAAAGGACAAAGCCTAGAGTTAAAACCCCAGTCCTACCAAAAAAAAAAAAAAGAGTATTTTTATTTAATTCTGACCAACATGTCATAAAATTTCCCTTTTAAACTAAACAGTTCAGTGGTTTCTTTGTATATTCACAAGGCTGTGCAACCTTTCTCACTATTGAACTCTAGAACATTGTCATCATCCCCAAAATAAACCCCGTACCCATTAACAGTCACTCCCAGTTCTCCCCTCTCTCTAACCTCTGGAAGCCACTAATCTACTTTCTAGCTCTATTATTAGTTTCATGTAAATGGAATCCTATAACATAAGGTTTTTATGCCTGGCTTCTTTCTCTTAGCATAAAGTTTTCAAAAATCAACCATGTAGCATGAGTCATCTCACTCCAAGGGGCTTGCTCATTTCTGTGTGTCACTGCTCCTGTTGCTGAGTTATTCCTGTGACCTGTGCAGCAGCACTTCTCTGTGTCTTGGTCCTCCCTTCTGTGCTAGGAGGCCAGAGTTCACCAATCTTGGGACAGATCTACACTGAGAGCAATGCTGTGAGAAAGGGAGGGTGGTGTTATACCCACATTCTGGGAATAACTAAGTGTAACATGGCACCACAGGTGTTTGCCTCAATCTGCTTGCTGCATCTCTATTCCTGTGACATTGTGGCCACTACCTATTCTTATTTGAGATTTACACTTTGGGCCAGTTGCCTAACTTTTCTATACCTTGGTCTTGTTAGCCATAAAATCGGGAAAATAATTGTGCTCCTCTTATTGTAAAGATAAAGTGGATAATGCCTGGCCTATAGTAAAGGCTCAATAAATGCAAGCTGTTGTACTTTATTAGCCATGATTCAATAAATAACATATTTATCATTTACTCATGACTAGAATACAGTTTTATTCACAATTGAAAATAATTAGACCTTTGTAGACTTCCCTTAGCAAGTGATTGCCAGCACTGAAATGTTAAGTTTCAGGCATGTTTGTCATAACTTCAAACCACTAGTTTCAGAATGTAGTGTTCACTTTTAAAAAAATAAATATTGCAGAGGTTGGGGGCATGCCTCAAGTGGTAGAGAGCTTGCCTAGCAAGTATGAGGCCCTGAGTTTAAACCCAGCACCAGGAAATAATAAATAAATAAATTAGTTAATTAATAAAGATTGCTAAATATTTTCTATCCTTTAGACTTTTCTTAAAGATACTTTAACATGCATTTAACAGCATATTGTAAACTACAGTTATCTTTACACCTTATCCATTCATTATATTCAGAAAGATACTGCATTCATTTGTCACTCTTTGATCTGATAACATAGCTAGGCAATTTGAAACATCAATTCCCTGGATAACCTAAATCTAGTAATCTGCTGATTATCAAGACCTAGGATTGCACATAAATGAGTCTGAGTGAAGAAATCATGTATCAATAAGTGTAGGTATACTGTGTGTGTACCTATGCAGATTTTAAACTTTTCTACTTGTTTACGTGTATTTCCTAAGCTTTTAAATTATGTGATTGGATTTATAAGAGATGCTTAAGTTTGCATTTTATTAGCACTTGCTCTTATTTTTGGTATGTAATAGTATATAGATTTTTTTCCATTGGAATTTGTTATTTAAAAGTTTACTTTTGCACATTTACTTGTATAGTTTACTTCTCAAAATACTTTAAATGGGTCAACTGAATTAAAAAACTATCTTGTAAAATCTGTCTACTAAATGGAGAAAGGTTAGCTAATTTATCTCATTTGTGTTGACCGCTTTACTCAGTTTTCATCTTCTAATGACCAATATTTTTAAATGATGTTGAGATTCACTGCCATGAACTTCATTGAAGAAAAATTATCTCATCACTCTCTGTTGCTACAATTTAAAATTGTTCCTTGTCTGTAATTATTTTTATAAAACAAACTTGTTTTCATAAAGTTTGTGAACAGAATGTTAATCAAAAGCTTCAAAAGCAGAAAATACCTTGAGAAGTGAGTTACTTATATAAGTAACAAAATAAATATATATGTTACAAATTTTTTTTCTGGAATGATTTATAAGAAATAGTTACATTTTTTTGGAGATAGAGACTGGAGTAGGGAGGGAATTAGGAGACTCTGATTTGTGTCTTTGTGTGGAATCTTACTACATGTGCTGATATCTTCTTAAATCCCAAGAAGGGATTAAGATGATGACCTTTTCTTTCCTACATTAATGTTTATCTCTATGTAGAAAAATCATAGATTGTAAGTGTAATGTAAAAACTGAAGACAGCAAGTAATGACAAACATACTGTTTCGTGTTGACATTAACATTCAAAATATCTAGCTTTGTTTAGATAAGAAAACTAGCAAGGCCTTTGTGCCTACAAATATCTTTTTCAAAATAAAACACTTTCTAGTATAATCATGTGATGATTTTATAGCTCCTAATCATAACCCTTGGTGTATTTTCTCTCCAGCCATTTTATCTGCTCAGGAGTGGAAGCCTCCTCTGCCAGCTTATGATTTCCTAAGCATGATGGATGCTGCAACATCTCAGAATCCCACCAAGAAAGTTCCCAAATGTGTCAAAGAATCAGATGTGCAGGAGAGTGATAAGGAACAACATGAAGAAGATAAGCCAGCAGTCAGAAAGGAGCCCATTGAAACACTGAGAATAAAGCATTGGAACAGAAATAACTGGTTTAAACAAGCAGAAAAATCATTCAGGCATGATAAGGAGCTATGAGCTCATTCTAGCACCTTTCTTTTTGGCTTCAGGGACTTGTATTTATTTGTTTTGGAATAATACTAAATCATACCAAGTTTCTAGACAAGTGCCATTCAATAGCATTCTACTGCAAGTTACATGTGTAAAACTTTCTAATAGATACATTAAAAAGTAAAATGAGCAAGTGAAATTGACTTTAAAAATGTATTTCACCCAGTAGGTATATCTAAAATAGCTTAATTAATCTGAAAGTTATTGGGAGATTTACTTTTTTCTCTACCAAGTCTTCAAAATACAGATTATATTTTATACTCACTGCCATTTGTCACTACAGAGTGCCCATAGTTTAGGTGTGCATTAGTCATATGCTGTGCCTGACTATTACATTAGACAGCTCAGCCTTAGACAAAAACTAATATAATTAATTTATTTCTAGTCATGATATATATTTGGATTAAAATTGAAATGTAACAGTAGTATAATCACAGTTGACTCTACAATAGAGTCATACAGTTGGTAGTTACATTTGTGTTTCCTATGTAGTCATGATGCTAAAACCAGTATTTTTCAGATTCCCCCCACCCCCAAAGACATTTGGTAATGTCAGAAGACAACTGATACCATGATTAGGGATGCTACTGGCATCTAGTGGGTAGAGGGCCAGGGATTCTGTCAGTCACCCTCTATGTAACAGGCCCACAGCAAAGAATTATCTGTCAGTAGGGCCATGGTTGAGTAACTCTGTGTTAAGGTAACCTGTGGCAGGGTGGGCTCCCTAACTATTCTGAATCTACTCAATTACCACATTTGAAAAAAGTATTGAATATTAAAAATAGATAATAGATGGTATTAATCCTATATTATCTGGATACAGCTTTATCTTACAGATTAACTTTAATATTTTTAGAAAGTGATAAGGTAATCTCCCAAAAGGACTCAGAGTAACATATTTTTAAGGGAGTCATTAAACTCCCATAACCTAAAGTCTCCTGTAGGTTATATTGCTGAATTTCAGACTGAACAGGAATTAAACATTCTGCTATATACTCACAAAAAGAGAGGCTCCCTTACCTGAGCCATGTCTAAAATCTCTCCTTGATAAGCTTTAGACAGATCAGTTGGTCTTGTTGGGCCACTCATCTTCATAATGAATGGGAAAGATTAGCCAAAAAGTGGTTTTCCATTCAAAATCACTGTTAGATTTTTTGCAGCAGTTGTGTGTGTCACTGTTGCTGTATGCATTTTGTTAGACATTTGTTGATAACATCCTGTTTAGGGCTCTACTCTGTTGATCCTTGTAAGGTATACTTGGGGTATCTTGTTCTTTATGTTTCTCTGCATATGGCTTGCCTAGTACATCTGAGTTGCATCATCACTGGAATTTTATAGCTGAATTTCAGTAAACCCATGCAATATGTTTCATTGTAACAAAAACCACTTGCTATTTTAAGCACCCCTTCCTCTATTTTTTTTCCTATAGCATGAAGTACCCTACTCATCCCATTCATTCGCATTTACTTTTATTTCTAACATGGAAGATGCAAGAGTGAACTCTAATATTTTCTGTAGTAGTAAAACATTATCAGCCTAATCATTAAAGTGCTAATTAAGCCGGGCATGGGGACTGTGACTCACATTTATAATCCCAGCAACTCTGGACTCAGTGATCTGAAAGATTGTAGTTCAAGGCCAGCCCAAGCAAAAGCTTTCTTTCAACAAAAAAGCTGGGCATGGTGGTGTAAGCACAACACCCTGAATTCAAACCCTAGTACCACCTCAGAATGCTAATGAATAAGAACTACCAAAAATTACCAGCAAAAACAAATCACTAAAGATTTCAGATAATAAAATTATTAGACATAAACAATTATGTTTATGTTTCCAGAATAAAAGTCAAACTTAGACATAACTTCTAAAAAAACTGGCAAATATTAAAAGCAACAGAGCTGACTTCAAAAAGAACCAAGTAGAACTTCTAGAAGTAAAAAAATATTTAGTAAATTAAAAATTCAAATGAGACATAGTTAAAAATAGGACAGTAACTGGAAGATAGATCATAAAAATTATGTGAAACCACCACAAAGAGACAAGGTGATGTATTAGGGTTTCCCAAAGGAACAGAACCAGTAGACTATAAAAAGAGGGACCTAACCAGTTAGCTTACACCATCAGAGGCTGAATAGCCCACAATGACTCTGCAGCCTGGAGAACCAGAAGGAACAGGAACTGCTAAGTCAAAGAAGCTGAAGATGGACTCAGAACAAGATGGACTAGTGATTCAGGCTGATCTAGACAGTCTCTCTAGAAGCAAGTCCATATTTAAAGGCTGAAGAATCTGGAGTCTGGCGTTCTCAGGTGACAGCAGCAGTAAAAAGCACAACTGTCCAAGAGGTGAACGTGTGTGAGTACAGGCTTCCAGCTTCCACCTGGTTGTTCCAGCCAGACCCTCAGCCCGTTAGATGACACTCTGCCCACGTTCAAGTGACTCGTCTTCATTCAGTTCACTGACTTCTGCCTATGGTCTCAGACACCCTGAGATGAGTTTTACCAGTTTTCTGTGTGCTTCTCAATCCAGTCAAGTTGACAGTGAAGATTATCCATCACAGGTTAAAAATAAAACACAAGAGATGCAATGTCCTAGGAGACAGAGTGAGAAAGATTAACTTGTACAATAGAAAAAGAGTACATGGAGAAGGGGACAGAAAAGACAATTAACTGGGAATTTTCCAGAATGATGAAAGATACCAATTTACAAATTCAGGAAGGTTATAAATTCGTAAGAAGATTAAAGAAAAACAAATCCACACTAACAAGGAAACTACAGAATATCAAAGACAAATCATCTTAAAAAGCACTAGAGGAAAAAAAGACATTACATTCAAAATAGTGGCAGTTTGATAATAGCTGAACCACATGACAGTGGAATGGTATCTTCAGTAGGGTAAAAGAAAAAAATATTGCTAACCTAGAATTTTATATCCAGTGAAAATATTCTCAGGAAAATGATAAAGATATTTCCGAATAGCTATAGTTTGAATGTCTCTGCCAAAACTCACATTGAAAATGAGTCTCAGTTGTGGGTGGGACCATGAGGAGGTGATGGATCACAAGTGCCCTGCCATCATGAGTGGATTAGTGGATGGATGGATGGATGGGTCATCACAGGAATGACTTTGTTATAAAAGTGAGCTCTCCGTGGCTAGCCTGCTCCATCTTACCACACGATTATCTCTACCATGGTTCTCACCAGAGGCCAAGCAGATGCTAGCTCATGCTCTTGGACTTCCAGTACCATCAGCTGGATTGTGATGTTCAGTTATAGCAACAGAAAATAGACTGAGAAAGGAGTAAAGTGGTAAGTATGTGGATAAATCTGAATTTCATTGTTTGCTCATTGTTTTATGTTCTGCAATTAGAGCATAAAACAATGAGCAAACAATGAAATTAGCATATGCAGTGATTTTGTATAAGCAGAAAAAAAGAGTCAGTAGTTTCTGTGTTCTCCCTGGAAAAAAGGTAAAGTTACTCATTAATTTTAGGTTTCAATAAATATGTGTTTTATAATTTCTAGAGTACCCATTAAAAGAGTTGAAAACTTTAAAGCAATGAGAATTTTAAAAACTATCTACAAAAAATGATTAGTCAAAAGAAGGAAAGAAAAAAACAAATGAAACATAAAACAACTGGGTAAGTAATTTAATCTGAAATGCCATGAATAAATTCAAGTAGACCAAATGTTCCAATTAAAATTTTGTCAGACATAATCACAAAAATTAATTGTATGATGTTTTCAAGAGATATATGTTAAAATGATATATATAAGAAGGTTAAAAGTAAAAAGGTAGAAAAAGATATACCATGAAGTTTCTAGGTAAGAGAAAGCTGGCCAGAAAAACCTTAATATCAGATAAGATAGACATTAAGTCAAAAAGCATTATCAAAGATAGTCACTTCATAATGATAATGTTCAATTCAGTATTTTAAAATAGTCATAATTTTGTAATCACCTAATAACATGGTATCAAAATGTGTGAAGCAAAAATTAGAAGAAATAGACAAATTTATCATAGTAATTAATACTGCAGCAGAAAAATAAAGTTATTGAAGATTTAAGCATTGTCATTAATAAATGTGACCTAGCTTCATCCAATAACTGCAGAACACACTTTCCTTTCAAGCACACAGAACATTTATAAAAGTTGACATATTATGGGCCACAAAGCAATTCCAATAATTGAAAGAATTACAATCATGCACAACATGCTCTCTGACCATGATATAATTAATTTAGAAATAAATAACAAAATGATACCTAGAGATTCAGATTCAATGAGTTGAGGGTAGAACCTGTGCTTGTGATAATATCTGGGCATCGCATTGTTGCTACTGCTTTTTTTTTTCCCCCTTTAGTACTGGGGTTTAAGTTAGAGCCTTGTGCTTGCTAGATAAGCACTGTATCACTTTGAGCTATGCCCCCACCCCAGCCCTCACATTGCTCTTATTATTAAATCTGAGTCTTCTTCACACCCATTAAGTGGGAAAGTAATATATAAAAGTCTTTCTTGTTCATAATATTTCTTCATTGAAAGTGTTAAACATATATATTTAGTATTTTAAAATATATATTTAAAAAAAAAAAAAATATATATATATATATATAGTATTAAAATGGCCTAGTAATGAATTATTAAATAAGCAGGTAATTCAGACCTCTCTCCCACTTAGGAGTGATTAATATTCTAACACTTTGTTTGTAGGCTGTAATTTCATATTCTCTTAAAACAAGTTTTTTTTTTTCTTTTACTAAGATTATTAATGGAGGCCTACCCAAGATTTAGTTTGGATAACCCAGGGTCAAGTCCTTACATAGGCCTCAAGAGCTATGAAAACAAAACAAAAAACGCAGAGAGCATACTCTAGAGTCTAGTGAAATATTCCAGACCGCCCTCCTGTCTTAGAATTGGCTGAATTTCACATCAGCTTTTTAATCAAATAAAGTAGTCATTTCCTCTGACCTTAAATGCAGCCTGGATTTTTTGTTTCTCATGTGGATATCTTATATAGTTATGAAGGCTACCTTTGAAGAATTAATTTTCCTCTCATTTAAACTTCTTTCCATGTTGGAAATGCAACATAACCAGCCAACCTGTTCATGGTGGCATGAAACTCCTGGATGTCTGGTTTATTCTGAGAGTGGCTAATGCATTTAAATCACTTTCCAAAAAGTTACCAAGATAGGACTAACAGCATGCCAGCTGTAGAGTGGTTTCTATGAGTGTGAACAGTAAGTAAATCCTTATTCAGACATTATAAGAGGCTGTTTTTAAAGGTACCTTTAATCTGGGGCTAGGGGAGCTACTGGAAGATTGTTTCTCTAAATGCATTCTAATAAAAGTGTCACTTAGAGAAATTCTTATGTTTGGTAAACAAAATTGAGAACACCTGCATGTTAAGAAATATCTGGAAGATAACAACCAGCGTAGCATACTAATAAGAGAATGGACTTTGGGTTCAGTCAGAAGAATCTTTGCTAGGAAGGCACTCTACCACTTGAGCCACTCCACCAGCCCTGATGGGAGAATCTTCGAGTGCTTACTCCAAGTCACTAGTCATGTGATATACTGCAGTTACTTAAAATCTCACACCTTTTTTCATAGGTGAAAATACCGCTCACCACAAAGTATTGAGACTTAAATGAGAGCATGTACAGTAGGCACGTGACAAATGTCATCTGAAACATTGGTTCATTTATAAGAAATATTTTCCTGTTAGCAAAGTAATAAAATCATGTAATAAAAATTTGAAATAATATATAAATAGAAATAAATGTTTAAAATGCAATAACTAGTTCCCCCCCTCCACTTCCCAATTTCAGAGACAAATGGTAAATCTAGTAACAAGTTGGTTTCTATTTGATTTCTAAATGTTCCATTTTTTATTCTTAGAATTCATAGCATCTATGTTAAGACACATTTTTCTGAAATTCAGTTTACTTTTTCTTTTCATATATAACATTAAAATATTTTACTTTGTGGTTGCGGAAG